TGCGCACACCTCAACTCCAAGACGAGAATTCAACTAATTTATTGTTAATATTCAACCTAATTGGGAACTAATAAACCATTTCTTGACTAGTAAAATAGGCTGCTGGCAAGAATAGCTGAATTTTGGCTAACTTTAGCCAAACCTTAAATAATAGCACATGCTATAGTCTAAAAAAAAAAAAAAAAAAATTGGGGCCTCGCAGCTGAGTGGACAGCGCTTTGGGGTCGTAGTCCTAATGGCCCGGGTTCGGTTCCCAGCGGAGGCGGAAACAAATGGAAAGTTTTTTTTCATCCTTATGCCCCTGTTCACCTAGGAGTAAATAGGTACCCTGAAGTTAGGCAGCTGCTACGGGTAGCTTCCTGGGGATGTGTGTGTGTGTGTGTGTGTTAGAGATAAATATATGTAGTAGATATTCTAGACGAAAAATAAATTGGTTAGAAAGGCGTGGTCCAAGAGCTAAATAGCTCGATTCTGTAGACACAAATAGTAAACACACAGACGAGTTTGGGTAGACATGATCACCACATACAAAATTCCCATGGAAAATGACAGAGTTGACTGTGTAAAGACAGATTATTTAACACGGGTTGTACACGCACAAGGGGACACAGGTGGAAACTGAGTACCCAAATGAATCACAGAGACATTAGAAAGAACTTTTTTCAGCGTCAGAGTAGTTAGTAAATGGAATGGATTAGGCAGTGATGTGGTGGAGGCTGACTCCATACAGTTTCAAATGTAGATATGATAGAGCCCAGTAGGCTCAGGAACCTGTACACCAGTTGATTGACGGTTGAGAGGCGGGACCAAAGAGCCGCAGCTCCACCCCCGCAAGCACAACTAGGTGAGCGCGCGCGCGCACACACACACACACACACACACACACACACACACACACACACACACACACACACACACCACACACACACACACACACACACACACATTCTTGACCATATTTTGGTGGCATGTCGCAGGCGATCTTGGGCGGCCAAGAATACTATGGTGCCTTGATACGCCTCAACTCTTGCCGCAAAGTTTACCTCGAAAGGAAATCCAGCAACAGCCTCGCTAACTTCAAAGACATTTTGGCCGCCGAGAAAGTCATTCCCACCAGCGCTCTCTCACGTTTCAATCCAAAAGGATTGGTCGGTACGGCGATGACCTCACTTCTTGCCGGGTCGGGGTTCGATACCTGGAGGTCACAATTCCTTCATCCCGTTTTCATATATCAGGTCCTATACAACCCATATAATTTCCATGTACTATAGTCATATTGCCTTAACTCTTTTATGAAAATTACCTTAGATCTTCCTAGTACATTTCTACCCAAGGTCTCGCAATTCAAAGAACCAAATTCAAAACAAAACAGGTGGGTGGAAATTGTGTGGACAAGTAGGCGGTGATCAGAGACGCGGCGACCTGCTCAGCGGTAGCACCGCTCCTGTGCCAGGTACGTCCACTACGGGCTCACCATAGCCCGTGCTACTTGTCCCGCTCCTGTGCCCGGTAAGCTACGGGTTCACCATAGCCCGTGCTACTTGTCCCGCTCCTGTGCCAGGTAACCTACGGGTTCACCATAGCCCGTGCTACTTGTCCGGCTCCTGTGCCCGGTAGCTACGGGTTCACCATAGCCCGTGCTACTTGTCCCGCTCCTGTGCCAGGTAACCTACGGGTTCACCATAGCCCGTGCTACTTGTCCCGCTCCTGTGCCCGGTAAGCTACGGGTTCACCATAGCCCGTGCTACTTGTCCCGCTCCTGTGCCAGGTAACCTACGGGTTCACCATAGCCCGTGCTACTTGTCCCGCTCCTGTGCCAGGTAAGCTACGGGTTCACCATAGCCCGTGCTACTTGTCCGGCTCCTGTGCCCGGTAAGCTACGGGCTCACCATAGCCCGTGCTACTTGTCCCGCTCCTGTGCTAGGTAAGCTACGGGCTCACCATAGCCCGTGCTACTTGGAACTTGTTCTCAGTAGCTGAATCTATAACAACAACAGCCGGCCATTATTCTGTCCCCACGTGACCTGTTTAATTAAACACATCTCTTGCCATGCTAGGCTTCCTGTCCCACCCCCCGTTGGTTATCCTGGGACGAGACTGCTTCACCGACCTCTCCTCTTACCAAAAAACGTCGCATTTCGTTCGTATGTGTGACGTAAGGTCAAAAATTGACGGACTAGAAATTGAAAGCGGCTGGCGAAAGTGACGTACTGCTCCGTTTTCTGTTTTGGGTCCTCGGGGAGCCGGTCGGCTGAGCGGACAGCACGCTGGACTTGTGATCCTGTGGTCCCGGGTTCGATCCCGGGCGCCGGAGAGAAACAATGGGCAGAGTTTCTTTCACCCTATGCCCCTGTTACCTAGCAGTAAAATAGGTACCTGGGTGTTAGTCAGCTGTCACGGGCTGCTTCCTGGGGGTGGAGGCCTGGTCGAGGACCGGGCCGTGGGGACACTAAAGCCCCGAAATCATCTCAAGATAACCTCAAGATAAGTTAGGATAGGGGCACTTTATATTGATCGTTTTCTTGACGTTGGGAAAACCTTAGGAGGACGGTTTGGCTTCCTACTGCCATGGGGCACTGGGCCTCCCTCCCTCCTATCCTGAGGCACGCCTAATCTGTGGGCGTGATTCGTGTAGCCTAATCTGTGGGCGTGATTCGTGTAGCCTAATCTGTGGGCGTGATTCGTGTAGCCTAATCTGTGGGCGTGATTCGTGTAGCCTAATCTGTGGGCGTGATTCGTGTAGCGTAATCTGTGGGCGTGATTTAACAATACTAACAGAGACCAGTGGAAGTGTGACCGTTATATTTAGCGTTACATAAGTGTTACATAAGTTACATAAGCGTAGGGGTGTTATTGCTGCCAGAATAGCCAGGTAATTAAAACATGCTGGTGTAATATTTTTAATATAATTAGAAAATATCTGTGTTGTCTGACACATGAAAGGGAACCGCGCTACGTCTACTGCGAGGCAGGTGTGTGTGTGTGAGGCAGGTGTGTGTGTGTGAGGCAGGTGTCGTGAGGCAGGTGTGTGTGTGTGTGAGGCAGGAGCCGTGAGGCAGGTGTGTGTATACGAGGTAGGTAAGTGTGACAGCAGGTTTGAAAGAAGATACGAAACCGAACTAGAGACCCAAGCTAACCTGGAGAAGAGAGATAACTAAGAGAGAACCTAGATATAATAGAAACCTTAACCAGGGTATTTAACCGACCTAAACGAGACCTAACCTGCTTGATACCTGGTTGATGGGGTTCTGGCAGTTCTTCTACTCCCCAAGCCCGGCCCGAGGCCAGGCTTGACTTGTGAGAGTTTGGTCCAACAGGCTGTTGCTTGGAGCGGCCCCTAGCCTGGAGAAATATTGCTGAGCGGATAGGGAGGAGCGGACATTCAACAGGACTATGGTTCAGTAGATTATATCTATCAACCAGTGATGTTCTAGCCCGGATCCTTGTTGACCGGTGGTCAACCGGCGGCCTCACGACTCCTGGGTTCTGGGTTCGATCCCAGGCGCCGGCGAGAAACAATGGGCAGAGTTTTTCACCCTATGCCCCTGTTACCTAACAGTAAAATAGGTACCTGGGTGGGAGGCCTGGTCGAGGACCGGGCCGCGGGGACACTAAAAGCCCCAAAATTATCTCAAAATAACCTCAAGATAACTCAAGAGAACCCAGAGAGAGAGAGAGCAGGTCAAATGGAACCTCGTGAAGGTGCGGATAGGTCGACCCTGGGAGGAGAAGCGTGGACACCAGCAAGGAACACGCAGGTTGCTGCAAGAGGTCAGGCCAGATGCTAGAGATGTTTAGAAAAGGATTTTTCATGCCGGGAATAAGAGTTATTTTTCTTACGACAGGTCAAGAGGTTTTCAAGAGTTTGACGGCAAAAATTCTCAAGGTTTCAAGAGACATTTGCATTCTTTTGGGAAAAGATTTTGAAAGCAGAAGGCACTGAATGGAATTGAAAGCAGACGTATTCACGACGTTGGTTTAAAATATATTCAAAACATTCGCAACGCTCACAAAAAGTTGCCGTCAGTCATAAAAAGTATTAAAGATGAGTCCTAAGCGGACGTTGAAGCATTGAAGAAGAAAAGGTTTGAGTTACAAGAGAAAGGTTAAGTGTGTAGGGGTCGTCTTGGGTGGAGGAGGAGGGGGAGGGGTCGTCTTGGGTGGGGAGGAGGGGGAGGGGTCGTCTTGGGTGGGATGGGAGGGAGAGGAGGGGTCGTCTAGGGTGGGGGAGGAGGGGTCGTCTTGGGTGGGGGGGGAGGGGTCGTCTTGGGTGGGGGAGGAGGGGGAGGGGTCGTCTTGGGTGGGGTGGGAGGGAGAGGAGGGGTCGTCTAGGGTGGGGGAGGAGGGGTCGTCTTGGGTGGGGGAGGAGGGGGAGGGGTCGTCTTGGGCGGGGGAGGAGGGAGGGGAGGGGTCGTCTAGGGTGGGGGGAACTTCCGGCCTTCTCCTACATTATCTAACAACTCTAACCTTAGCCCCAAGCCTCTGACCAGTCCCCCTGCATAGTTAGATGAGACTAGCCCCAAGCCTCTGACCAGTCCCCCTGCATAGTTAGATGACTAGCCCCAAGCCTCTGACCAGTCCCCCTGCATAGTTAGATGAGACTAGCCCCAAGCCTCAGACCAGTCCCCCTGCATAGTTAGATGAGACTAGCCCCAAGCCTCTGACCAGTCCCCCTGCATAGGTAGATGAGACTAGCCCCAAGCCTCAGACCAGTCCCCCTGCATAGTTAGATGAGACTAGCCCCAAGCCTCTGACCAGTCCCCCTGCATAGGTAGATGAGACTAGCCCCAAGCCTCAGACCAGTCCCCCTGCATAGGTAGATGAGACTAGCCCCAAGCCTCAGACCAGTCCCCCTGCATAGGTAGATGAGACTAGCCCCAAGCCTCAGACCAGTCCCCCTGCATAGTTAGATGAAACTAGCCCCAAGCCTCAGACCAGTCCTCCTGCAAAGTTAGATGAGACTAGCCCCAAGCCTCAGACCAGTCCCCCTGCAAAGTTAGATGAGACTAGCCCCAAGCCCAAGTCCTCCTGCAAAGTTAGATGAGACTAGCCCCAAGCCTCAGACCAGTCCTCCTGCAAAGTTAGATGAGACTAGCCCCAAGCCTCAGACCAGTCCTCCTGCAAAGTTAGATGAGACTAGCCCCAAGCCTCAGACCAGTCCCCCTGCATAGTTAGATGAGACTAGCCCCAAGCCTCAGACCAGTCCCCCTGCATAGTTAGATGAGACTAGCCCCAAGCCTCTGACCAGTCCCCCTGCATAGTTAAATGAGACTAGCCCCAAGCCTCAGACCAGTCCTCCTGCAAAGTTAGATGAGACTAGCCCCAAGCCTCAGACCAGTCCTCCTGCAAAGTTAGATGAGACTAGCCCCAAGCCTCTGACCAGTCCCCCTGCATAGTTAGATGAGACTAGCCCCAAGCCTCTGACCAGTCCCCCTGCATAGTTAGATGAGACTAGCCCCAAGCCTCAGACCAGTCCCCCTGCATAGTTAGATGAGACTAGCCCCAAGCCTCAGACCAGTCCCCCTGCATAGGTAGATGAGACTAGCCCCAAGCCTCAGACCAGTCCCCCTGCATAGTTAGATGAGACTAGCCCCAAGCCTCAGACCAGTCCCCCTGCATAGGTAGATGAGACTAGCCCCAAGCCTCAGACCAGTCCCCCTGCATAGTTAGATGAGACTAGCCCCAAGCCTCAGACCAGTCCCCCTGCATAGGTAGATGAGACTAGCCCCAAGCCTCAGACCAGTCCCCCTGCATAGTTAGATGAAACTAGCCCCAAGCCTCAGACCAGTCCTCCTGCAAAGTTAGATGAGACTAGCCCCAAGCCTCAGACCAGTCCTCCTGCAAAGTTAGATGAGACTAGCCCCAAGCCTCAGACCAGTCCTCCTGCAAAGTTAGATGAGACTAGCCCCAAGCCTCAGACCAGTCCTCCTGCAAAGTTAGATGAGACTAGCCCCAAGCCTCAGACCAGTCCTCCTGCAAAGTTAGATGAGACTAGCCCCAAGCCTCAGACCAGTCCCCCTGCAAAGTTAGATGAGACTAGCCCCAAGCCTCAGACCAGTCCTCCTGCAAAGTTAGATGAGACTAGCCCCAAGCCTCTCACCAACATTTGACAGACAAATACCTGCAGATATAGATAATAAAATTAAAATTAAAAAACATTTACACTTCAGTTCAGAAAATATTTCTTTCTTTTATCTTTTTCCTATAAAACAGCGTTTTTAAATATATAAACAATTTCTTTTGCCCAGTTAAATAAAAACCACTGAAATATAAAGCAATCTTTTATAGCTCATCTCTATATCGTACTATATATCTCTGTATCTCAATATCCTGCTTATGAAATCTAAAGTTAAACTTTAGCCTTGGTATAACGGAAGGACCCCCCACCCCGTTCTTGGGTAATCAATACGAGGCCTCGAAGGCTGGCCTCGGGAGATGGAGAGACCAGAGAAGGATCTACATCAAAGGAACAAAGAAATGATGACCAAACCATCACTCGGAAGATGATTATGATGAACCGGTGGAGACGTTCTCCATCTCAGTTGGGGTTCACTCATCATTTCTTCAGCCACGTTGCTGTGACTCATCGCCTCAGCAGGAGATGAAACATTTGAGTACAATGATAGTTCATAGTTTCGTGAATGTCTTGAAATGTGCTTTGTACAATGATCTCAACTAGAAGATGAAGAAAAGGAGACTTGTGTTTATCATCTTAGCGATTCAGGTGTGTGAGAGGCAGGAGCCGTGGGACAACAGGTGTGTGTGAGGCAGGAGCCGTGAGGACCAGATGTGTGAGAGAGGCACTCTGAAGTGAGCGACTTGAGGAAGCGCAAAAGTGTGATGATGTGTGTGATGATAATCACCTCCACACTGGACAGCTGTCCACCCCATTATCTTCACCTTTACGAAATAAGTGTACCCCGGAAGGTAAGTCATGCCTCGAGTTAATAGGACAGAATGACTGAGAGGGAAGGTTGAACAGGTGGGCGAATGTTTAAGTTGTTAGACAAATAATTCAACATTGAATTTGGGTCCTATACAACACATCAGAGGGTCCTACACAAGCCAGCGAACCAGGCCGGAGTCCTGGGTAGCGTGCTTAATTAATGTTACCTGGTTGATACCTGCTTGATGGGGTTCTGGGAGTTGTTCTACTCCCCAAGCCCGGCCTGAGGCCAGGCTTAACTGGTGAGAGTTTGGTCCACCAGGCTGTTGCTTGGTGTAACAAAACGCGCTATAACGAACTGGAAAAAGTGTCAGTCAGTGGGGAAATAACGGAATATAGAGGGGTCATTAGTGAAGTCTCTCCAGGCGCTGTGATTGAACTGATGAATTGAGGATCTGAGTTGAGGAGGACAACGCATGCAAGCAAGAGCTGCAGGAGACCTCCAGGAGACCTCCGAGACGATTTGAATGAGTTGCAGACACGAGGCCGGCCTCGTCAAGCAGGTGCATGCGAAACCTGTACATTTTATCTGGTCGAGGACCGGGCCGCGGTGACGCTAAGCCCCGAAATCATATCAAGATAACGCGGTGGTACCGACGACCCGTAAGAAAACACTCACGACCCACAAGGAAACGCGTCTTGCGTGTACAAGGTCCGTAAGTAAGAGGACCGAGCTATTAGGAACAACACTAGTTTTTAAAAGCAAATTGGCCAACAAAGGAAATGGGAGGGTTTTGCATTAGAGGACGGATAATTTAGAAATGTGGGGGCCCAAGAGCTGAAGTTCCCTTATGTAAAGTAACACTAGCTGCCAGTGACATTTCACCCCTGTTACTGTTCCTGTTCCTTTTCTTCCTTACTGTTCTTCCTTTGTATGGTAATTATGAGGAGGAAAAACAGAGCCAAACTTGTGATTATACAGCACTTGCAAGAGATATGGGGGACAAGGAGCTGGGATATGGGGACAAGGAGCTGGGATATGGGGACAAGGAGCTGGGATATGGGGACAAGGAGCTGGGATATGGGGACAAGGAGCTGGGATATGGGGACAAGGAGCTGGGATATGGGGACAAGGAGCTGGGATATGGGGACAAGGAGCTGGGATATGAGGACAAGGAGCTGGGATATAAGGACAAGGAGCTGGGATATAAGGACAAGGAGCTGGGATATAAGGACAAGGAGCTGGGATATAAGGACAAGGAGCTGGGATATAAGGACAAGGAGCTGGGATATGGGGACAAGGAGCTGGGATATGATGACAGTAAAAATAAACTGTGCTAACTCCCTTGCACCATCGGGAACTGAACGCCGTAGAGAGAGGAAGGGAGGGAGAGAGAGAGAAAGAGAGAAACAGAGAGAGAGACAAAGACAGAGAAACAGAGCGAGAGAGAGCGAGAGAGACGCACCCGTACCCTCGGAAACCTCTCTAGTCGATTACGCTTTTTTGCACATTAACAACCTCGTGTTGGTTTAAAAAGTGAGTATCACTGTAGCTGTTATAATATTTTCATAACGAGGAAAGGCGTGCTGGCAAGCTGCACACATCTATGAATACCTGATCTATGTATGCATGTTTAGCCAGATTTAGCCTTCTGATTTTGGGTAGAGAATTCTATTCATAATTACATGATCATTTTGGGCAGGAGAGGCCAGCCAGCCTTCAGGACAGCTGATATTGATTCCTGCTAGTGGGCGTGGCAAGAGTGGGAAGGGGTGAGGTGAGGGGGAGTAGTGAGGGGAGAAGGCGAGGGGTGAGGGGAATGAGTAGGGAGTGAGGGGACGTAATAAGGGTGAGAACGGTCATTTCAAATACAGAAGATTCATACTAGATTCTTGGACTTAACTCATTCCGTCATATTTAATAACACACTAAAACATCTTCGGAGGCAGAAAGCTAATATAAATAGGCAGAAGTACCGGCATATATTTAATATATATGCGTAAAAACCACATTTGAAGAATTAGAGAACGGACGAAAATGCTGAACGCGTTTTCGGCTCAATTCGCCTTCATCAGAGCAAAATAGAGTATCTGAAAACAAAGAATTGACGACGTTTCGTCTAATGAAAAGAGGTTAATGTCAGTTTATAAGGCAAGAGAGTGAGAGATGATAGTGAAGAATTAAGAGAATGTGCTAAAATATAGGAAAGGTTAGAAGTTAGGAAAAAACAAGAAAGAAGAAAGGGAAAAAGTATAAATATATGAAAAGTTGAAGTATAAGAAAGTTAAAATATAATAAACTGTAGGAGCCCAGATAGTGGAGAGATATATAGCTGTGCAACAATATTCCACTCCAATAGAGCACTAGCGTCTTGAAGAATATCATCATTCGGTATAGCATCTCTGGTGTGAAAGGTTCTTGTTATCCAACCTGTCATTTTTCTTGCAATTGTAACGGCTACTTTATTGTGTTGTTTAAAGGTAAGGAGCAGGAGCAGGTGCTAGGAGCAGATACTAGGAGTAGATGCTAGGATCAGGTGCTAGGAGCAGGTTGATATATTAACGAGTGTGTTCCCAGCACTTTTGCACATCGGAGGTTGACTCCGTTGTCTGTGATGGAGTGCACTTGAAGATGTTGATGTGAGTAGAGTGTGTGGGGTCCACGTTAAGGAGGTGGGCGGAGGTGTGGCAACTGTGGCACGGGGCAGGGTACCACACCACTGGGAGAAACCAATGTCCTTATGAGAGAGTGTTCTCCGAGTGCCGTGGGGCAAGGAGTGGGGGTCTGGGGTATGTTATGACCGTGGGAGAGGGGCATCACTTGGTCACTTGGAGAAGGGAACTATCCAGGATACTGGGGGGATCAAACGCTGACCTGCATACGGAACAGGTTGGGTTCCGGTGTGTATTTACTATTTGTGTCTGTGGAATCGAGCTATTAGCTCTTGGACCCCGCCTTTCTAACCAATTTACTTTTTCCTCGTATTATATTTACTACATACATTTCTAACACACACACACACACACACACACACACACACACACACACACACACACACACACACACACACACACACACACACACACACACACACACTGGAGGACAGAAGAGACACTGGAAGACACAAGAGTAAGGGGGGACATGATCACAACCTACAAAATCCTCAGGGGAATCGACCGGGTAAACAAGGATGAACTATTCAACACTGGTGGGACGCGAACAAGGGGACACAGGTGGAAGCTGAGTACCCAAATGAGCCACAGAGACATTAGAAAGAACTTTTTCAGTGTCAGAGTAGTTAGTAAATGGAATGCACTAGGAAGTGATGTGGTGGAGGCTGACTCCATACACAGTTTCAAATGTAGATATGACAGAGCCCAGTAGGCTCTGGAATCTGTACATCAGTTGATTGACGGTTGAGAGGCGGGACCAAAGAGCCAGAGCTCAACCCCCGCAAACACAACTATTAGTACACACACACACACCCCCACACACCCTCTCCATCCCCCTCCCTCACTTCCACCTTCCACCTCTCCCCATATACTCACACACCTCCTCTCTCTCTCTCTCTCTCCTCATCTCCTCCCCCCCCTCTCTCTCTCCTCTCCTCCGTCTCTCTCTCTCCTCTCTCTCCTCTCTCCTCTCTCCTCTCTCTCTCTCTCTCTCTCTCTCCTCTCTCTCTCTCTCGCTCTCTCTCTCCCTCTCTCTATCTCTCTCTTCTCTCCCTCTCTCCTCTCTCTCTCCCTATTTCCTTTCCTCCTCTCTCTCTCTCCCCCTCTCTCCCTCTATTTCTCTCCCTCTCATCTCTCTCTCTCTCTTCCCCCTCGTCTCTCTCACTCTCCCCCTCTCTCCCTCTCCCCCTCTCTCTCATCCCTCCCCCTCTCTCCCTCTTCCCCCTCCTCTCCCTCTTCCCCCTCTCCTCCTCTCCCCTCTCTCCTCCCTCTCCCCTCTCTCCCTCCCCCCTCCTCCCCTCCCCCTTCTCTCTCACCCTCCCCCTCTCCTCCCCCCCCCCTCTCTCTCTCCCTCCCCCTTCTCTCTCCTCTCTCTCCTCTCTCTCCTCTCCCTCCCTCTCTCCTCTCATCCTCCCTCTCTC